CCAGAGCTTTATTTGTGATACCTGAGTTATGTTCTATAGATATAATCACAGATAACCTTTCTTCTGCTGATTTAGCTCGCTAGGTTTTCAGGGGAAGGCCAATCTCAGCATCTCTCAGGGCCACAGCTCCCACCTTGATCTCAGCTTCACCACCAATTCACTTCTCCGGTACAAACCCCAATGCCATGACTTCATTCCTCTTCAGGCAAGCTTCTTGCTGTTTGACTTTCACATTGCTTAATAGCAGACAGCCCATTAAAGAGCTGCTTGATTTGTGGCTGTGCAGAAGTAAGCGCTTGTACAGACAATTAAGGGGAGAATTTAATGGTATGGATTTCCCAGCAGAGTTATCAATTAGCACGAGCTGTTTGTCAGCCGGCCGCGGTGCATCCCAAGCGGTGGCCGATGCATTCAGTGAGGCAAAGGGTGGCTTTCATCAGGGCTTATGGTATCCACCTTTAGTTTTATGCAGAAACAGGAAAAATATGGGTCTTTCAGTAGAGATGTCTCTTCTGGCCAGGCATTGCTGTCATTAAATACCAGGCTGCTCTGATCACAGTGCTCTACTGGGATGGTCATGCAGTAAGCTACAAGGTGTGGATCTCTTGGCTCCCAGTGACCCCAGGTTACTAACTTAATTTCCTTAATTGCCTAGGTTGGCAGAGTCCTCTAAGGACATTGAGCCCAGCTGTTAACCCAGCACTGCAAACCCACCACTAAACCCTGTCCCTAGCAGTGCATGGTAGAGGAGAATGGGAAGGGAGGAGAGGCCTGATTTTAGGGAGCTCTTATACTATGAGGAAAAGGATACTACAAGGCCTAACAGCTCCAAGAGGATGCTGATGAAGTTCAAAGGGGAAACGAAATACAAGTATTAACAGAAGGGATATGCAGCTCCTGAACTGCCTGCCAAGAGAGGTGGCAAAATCTCAGGCCTGCCTGCATGAGCAACCAAAGTATCTCAGATGCCCTCTGAAACCTTCCCTCCAGCTAAGCACTTCCCCAGCCTCTGCCCAAGGTTTTTTGTTGCTGATTTCACCCCAAGACAGACTTTGGAAGAGGGAACTCTCTAGCCCATGCTTTGCGGGGCTCCACAGGGTTCTTGCTGAACATCACAATGTTTGCCTTTCAATAGCCTCAACTTCTCCATCATGGTCAAGGACAGCAATTTGGCTTCTTATCCAAGAGCTGCTTCTGCCAAAAAACAAGAGGAGTTGCTATAGTTTGCCTTTTCATTACAACTGCTGGTCCTTTGGTCACGATGACCCCCATAAATAAAAGAGCTAATTAACGCCCTTCTCCTCCCACCAGTGATTGTCTATGACCTCGAATGACCTTGCTTAATTTAACTTTTTCAACCAGCTATTTTTGACAGCGAATAATTTAACATCCTTGTGACCCCAGTCTTGCGTCTCTCCTGCCAACTGGCTCTGCAGTTTAAATGAACAGCAATAAATAAATACATATCTGCAGAGGGACCTAAATGACTCCCATTACTGGAGCATCTGAAGGCCTGCTTAAATAAATCAAGTGAGTAGGAGATTATGCTGCAATCATGTGGAGAGGGAAAGGAGAGAATACATTACTGGTATTCCAGAGGCTGCAACTCAGGGGCGAACAACTTTGCAGAATTCAGAACAATGAGATTTAATTCGAGTGCAGATGGATGACCAGAGGCTCATTTTGTGGTGCAGAAGACTGCAATTTGATGGGATCACCAGTGCTTACAACTCTCACCAGGCAGCTCCTGCCTTGGGGAGGGGGTTGTTGGAGGTTGCTCCCTGTGTCTCCATGCCATGAAAGTGAGGTTACAGGCACCAGCTGCCCACCTACAGTCATTGTCTCACTTTTATCCCACACCCATGCCCTCAGGAGGAGAGAGCTGACCTTGTAGGATAGGGATGGCAGGAGTGGGCACTTCTTCAACTCCCAGTGCTTTGGGCAGGCAGGTACTCACCTTGAACCACACCAGAACCAAACCTCACCTTGGAGGTCCCCTTCATGAGTAAGAATAACAAATATTCTGAGGAGGGAGGAAAACCTCACCAAGTGATCTGCTTTGAAATCCCAGAACGAATAATGAAATTCTATTTGTTTCAGGAATCACCTGCTGCAATTTTTCTCCTCTACTTTGCCTTTCACCTTATTCCTACTTATTTTTGGGGTCTGGTTTTAAAGTATCGCTATTTCTTCTTTCCCCCTTCACAGCTCTTGTGCCGGCCCTATCACCCTGGCCTCATTTGCATCACGCTGAGGAACAAGGAAGCATCGTTATAAATTGTATTTACATAATTTTCCTTCCCCTGCTGAGGCTGAAATCGAAAATGCAACTAAGTTAATCAGTAAGATCTGGGCCTGCCACAAGTGCAGGCTGGGGCTCCACATCCCTGTGGGGCCATAGGAATGTCTGGGGACCCACTCACTGCCTTAATTCAGCAGTGAGGAGCTTTTCCCTAATGTTTTCCAGCTTTTCCCAAATGCTTTCCAGTCTGTTAAGAAAATAAAAGCCAGGCTTCTGCTGCTGATTTGTCTCAAGGGTGAGTCCATTTTCTCTTTTTTTTCATTTTTCCTCTTTTTAATCCCTTCATCTGGCACTGCACAGCATCACCCATCACCCCTGTGGGTGACAAACTCCCTTCTGTGCCCATCTGTCCCCATGTCTCTAGCAGTGAGATGTTCCCCCTTAGCAGCTTTAGGGTAAAATAGGTGAAATAGTTTGGTAGGAAATTCCCTATTTTCCTTCATCGCTGTTAAAGCAAGCCCACAGTGCATAACTGGGCAGGAGGTATCTGTACTGGTGAGAGGAATGATGGATGATCATAGTAATTAATTAACACTGATGGAGTGTCTCTCAGTTTAAACACATTGCAAATCAAAACAGACTCTATGCTCTCCCTGCCCTCACAGGGAGCAGAAGCAGCACCATCCATCCCTGCCCTAGTCTGCCTGGCAGCTGGTTTTAGGGCCATTAATGAGATTTTGGAGTTGAAGACCTGTTTAGGGTTTACTCTTCCCCCTTCCAAATCTTCAGAAACTGAGGGTCTGACTTTCTTTTTTTTTTTTTTTTTTTTTAATGAGGGGAGAGAAAAGAAGTGTATGAAACACCTGGTTTTGAGCAGCCCCGAGATCCATGGGGGAGAGGGGAAAACAAACAAAGAGAAAGAAAACACTAGAAAACAGCTTTTGCTGCCAAAGGAAGCCTTCGTGGAACTACAGATTTTTGGCTTTCCTATTCCTGTAACTAATAAATGAATTAAAATAATTGTAACACAAATATTGCATGAATTGAATAAGTAATGAAATTATAAAAATAACAGGAAAATACTAATAACCTTAATATGAAAAGTCCAGGAGAGTTTCAGATAATGAGAAACTGGAGGAAAAGTCTGGTCCTAGAGGACATGATTTGTGGTGACCACGTACAGCTGCAGGTGACACCTTGATGGGAACAAGAGCCTGTGCCAGGCCAACGCTGCTCTGGGAACAGCCTCCTTTCTAATTTTATCACCAAAATTTCACTGCATTACCACAAATATGACAAGCAGATGTCCTTAAGCGTTCACTCTGTCGCTGGCAGGCAGCAGCTAAACCTTAGCCCTCTTTTTTTTTGTTTTCTGAAAGAGTCTGGGCACCCATGATTTTGAACAGTTTATTCCTGTCATTTCCGAATCTTTAATTGTTCTTCCCTTTGCATCTATTTTTGGCTTGATTTATGATAAACCACGAATAGTACCAGTAAAGCTTGTGTGTCAAGTCAGTACATCAGATCAGAGCTGCCCCTGACAGACGGTCTGTAAAACCCCACTGGCTCCCTCCCACCAAGGGGGGATGCTCTTTTGTGGGGGTCATGTTTAGTTTTTCTCTCCTGAATGTGTATTTGTGAGGTGGGTAAGCATGTTTTCCACCAGTCTGGCCACCTTGGCCCCATCGCCTGCCCCATGATGCCCATTGCACATCAACCTCTGTGGATGTGGAGCTGGGCCAAGCACGTGCCTGACCTTTGGACCTCACACACACACACACACACACACACTTTCTCCCTTCCCAGTGCCTCACTTTCCCTCTTACAAAAGAGAAAACAGGATTAACTTTGGTCTTGGGCAGGAAAACACATCTCCTTCAACCCCTGTGATCATGTTCCACACCATTCCTTACTGGGGGATCTCCCCTTTGCACTCGAATCCTGCAACCCCTGATGACTCTCCCCTGCATCCTCCATGGGTTATGTCCCAATGCCCCCCAGCTGCCTGGTTGTCTAGATGGCCCAGCTGCTGGCGGTGCATGGTGCTCCAGTTCATCCAGTTCCAAGTCCCAGTGCAAGGTCCCAGGCAGAGCCAGTGGGGCCTTGTCCTATTAACCAGTGCCAAGGCAACGCTGGTTCCAATGGCTAGTGCCAGTGTCCGGGTATGCAGGTGCTGCTCTCGGTTCCAGTTCCCAGCTGGTGGTGCTCGTGCCTCTGTTCCCCATTGCCCTTCTCTATCCAGGTGATGCCAGCCCCTGTTCCCACCGATGGGCCCATTTCCCGGATGATCCCAGGTCTCCGTGGCTGGACAATGTGGGACCCAGATCCCGGTTTCCGGCAGGGTTCCCACTACACCAGACTGGGTCACAGTTCCTGGTCCAGCGCCAGCCAGTGCCATTCCCATTTCACACTACCGGGTGGTGCCAGTCCCCATTCCCAGTAGCGACTCCAGCTTCCAGCAGTGGGGAGCGTCGGCTTCCCGTCCCGGTTCGCATTCCTGGTGCCAGTTCCCGGTCCCATTCCCGGTTCCCAGTGCTGGTTCCCATTCCCCAGTGCCGGTTCCCGATCCCGCTCCCGGTTCCCTGTGCCAGTTCCCATCCCTGTTCCCGGTTCTCACTTCAGGTCCCGCTCCCAGCATCAGTTCCCGGTCCTGTTCCCCGTTCCAAGTCCCCAGTGCCAGCCCCCATCCCCACTCCCGTTCCCTGCCGGCGGTGCCGGGCGCAGGCGCGGCGGCGCTCCCTGCCCGCCCCGTCGGGGCGGTGCTTGCGGGAGGAGAAGCGCTGCGGGAGCGGCGCGCCCGGAGCGGCGGCACCGGCACGGGCAGCGGGCACTGGGCACTGGCACCAGCCCCGTGCAGGTAAGGCGACCGCCGGCCCCGGGAGCGGGTGGCTCGTCCCTGCGCCCCCGCTGCTGCTCCGTCCGCGGGGGCGGCTCCGCGCCCCGCCCGGGGGTCCCGCCTCGTCCTCGGGGGATGCTCGGAGCACCTGTGGCTTTGGGAACCGGGGGGGCAGCTGCATTCCTGGGAGGGGAGAGGAGCGGGCGGGGGGGGGAGCGTGTGTGTGTGCATGTGCGTGTATAAGATTTCGGGGCGGGGGGAAAGCCTATAGCAAGCACCCTCCTCCTCCCCCGTGCGGAGCACGCTGCTCCCCTTGCTTTCAGCAAGCGCTGGTGTTTGGGGGTGCTGGAAGTCGGGGTGCTTGGAGCTGATGCGTCTGAAAGTTGCACCCGGATGGTTCAAAACCTTGCAGAAGCTCCCAGTCATGCTTGTTTCTGCTGGGGAATCAAGCTGGACTGAAACTTTGAGCAGCGAGGCCTCAGCACTGGCTGCAGAGCAAGATTTCTGCACTGGGAAAAAATCCTGAGGTTTCATATTGTTCTTTGTTCCATTCTTTTGGGACAAATCCAAGGGGTTTTAGAAAGTCTTATGGAACGTTAAGGCGAGAGAGAGCTCCTGCCCCTGCCAGCACACTGCTGGGGTCCAGGAGACTGATGGCTTTTGGGCTTTCCAAGCACAGATATAAATCTGGATTTCCCACATCTCAGGGGTGGGAGGCACCACCTCTTTCTCTCTGACCTGAAATAGTTATTTTTGACCTGAGACATCAACCTGATGCTTTCTAGTGGAGGGTGTCCCATTGGAAATGTCTCTGGTCTTCTATCTCTCACATCCCAGTCTGGTAGGTGCCAGGTGAGCATGGGCTGCTTGCTCGGCTCTGGAGATCCACTCTTGTGTGATGCTTGGGTTTATTACCAGTTATTTATTACCAATTACCATTACATTTCTGCCTGGATGCTGCATTAGCTCTGAGCTTGGTGGGGAGTGCAGCCACGGCAAATGGAGCTAGGAGCAGAGCAGCGAGCTCAGCGAGTCACGGAGGATGATCTTAAATCCTCAGCTGCTTCTCTTGCTGCATCCAGCAAGGACCATGCTGCAGGCTTTCCCCAGGGCGCATTTCATCTCCATCCCATCTCACATCTTAAAGGGCCTCGATTCTCTGGCCAGGGTCAGCCTGGATTCCAAGTGTGCTGAACTGGTGTTATACTGGAGTGAAGGCAACATGGGGTCCCTGCAGCTGCATCTCTGACCCCATGCTCTGCATGTAAGTGGTGGGTAGCTCAAGGCAGGTGCAGAGAGCCTGGCTGGGTGTGCTGCTCAAAGCAGCAGTGAATTGAGGAGGGACAAACATGAGTACAGGTGAAAGCAGGTATCACCTGCTTTGAGTATCCTTTGGGTAACAAGGACCAAGGAGGGGGAAAAGCAGCAGAGTCAAGCATGGATGGAGGCACAGAGCCTGATCCGGGTGCTCACCCCTTAGCTCCTGCTCAGTGCAGCATCTTGCTACAGGCACATGTGTCCTGGTGTGATCTGTTTCCCTCTGCCCTCACCTGAACGTCAGCTGCCTTCTACTTATTTAAGTAATTCTTTAATGTGTATCACCTGGGGCTCAGATCCAGAGCAGGAGCATGCAGCAGGGTTGTAAAACCCAAGGCAGACTGATGGATGCTCTTTGAGACCCCACCACCCTTGGGAGCAGGATGTGAGGTCCAAACTCCCCCTGCAATGAGTGTGTGTGTACAGATGCCACTGCATGCACAGGGGTTGGCTCACTCAGTGGCTGGTGCTTGCCAGCAGCCCTGTGCCAGGACTGGTTAGGGAAAACTTTCTCGTTGGCAGCAGAGTTAAGGATCAAGGCACGACCGAAAGGAAAAGCAGGTTCTGAGGAAGGCAGCAGGACTTGCTGTAGCAGGCCTTGCTCAGAGCAGAAATCAAGCCCCTTTGTCATTTCCTAAGAATACAGTGGGTGACACACAGAAGGAATATTCCCATCTGCAAAGCCATAACATATAAAACAGGGGCACAGTGTCATGACCAAGGCACTCTGGAGGTTTGTGATGGAGTCAAGTCCACCCTGCTTTCTGCCACCAGCACCCCCATCCTTGCATGAAATGACTTTATGTGAGGCTTTGACATGGCCACAAACCCAGGAAAATCCCTGCTTGGGTGGTGTGTTCTCCACAGCATAGTCTGTTCAAGGGAGCTCTTTTAGCTCGTGATGAATAGCTATTGTGGGCATCCTCAAGCCTCTGGGGTGGAGGAGGATGGAAACCCAGGACTGTTACTGAAGGAGATTGACCTGTAGCTTTGCTCTCGTTTTTAGGGAAAGGAGATGCTCCAGGCCTCCTTTATCTGGACATGCCAGGGCTTTACACAGTGTATGTGGGAGTATGTCAGTGGAGAAGACTTCTGCCAGAGGGGGGGCAGCTGGGGGAGGTGACAAAGGGCACTGATGGACAGATTAAGCCCACGCAGCAGAGCTTAAATCTTCTTAAAGCCTTTAAGGGAGGATCTGAGTTCATTCTCATTATTCATGCCGAGATTTGCCTGTGAAACCAAGCTGAGAGGCACCATTCCTAGGAGGTGGACGAGATGCTCAGGCAGAGGGAGAGGGCTGACCTCAAGAATGAGTTGCAAGGTGTGGGGGTGTCCCCTAGGATATATATCAGCTGATACAGTGAGGCACTGTATGCCTGGGCTTTGTGCTACGTTTGGAGATAGAATCGTATTGGGATAGTCGAGACTGGAGGTTTGGGGCTCTTTTGGTCCTGGATGCCCCTGGGAGCATTGCAGAAAGGCAATGGGAAACAGGGAAAGGATGTTTTTGGGACAAGGGTACTGAAGAGTTAATGTGGAAGGACCAGGCTCTGAGATCTGGTGCTTGAGAGGGATTAACTCAGCCTGGAGCAGGTGCAGGGAAAAGGGCTCTGAGGCTGCTCAGAGGGATGGAGAGCTGTTATACGAGGCTGTTTTGCTGGGCTTTTATAAAGGCAGAGAGGGGATGTACTTGCTGTCAATAAATAAATATAAGGGGTGAACTTCAGGGAGGCAGAAGAGCTATTTGAACTGAGAGACAGTGTTGGTGTTGGGTTGTGAATTCATTCAGTTTATGTTGGAAGGCTTATCTAGAGGCTCTGCAACTGTATCACATCAGAGGATGGTAGGAGAGTGTGAATTAGGGCACATCACCTCTCTTCCAAGGTGCTTGACTGTGATATAAGGAGGATTTAGGGTTTGGTGTAGGGGGCCAGGACTCTGTAGTCAAGACACCCTGTCCAGGTGTCTCCTTTGGAAAGGGCTGTGTTAGCCAAGCAGATCTTACCGTCTTGATGTGGGACAAGACCAGGCACAAAACAGATGAAGCCCAGCAATATCACAGAGATAATTTTTCATCTTTGATTATGCCTCAAAAAGAAAAAAAAAAATTCATCTCCCCCTTCCCTGATTGCTGCACAGATTAATAACAAAGCATCCATGCTTTAAAGAAAGCTTTGGCTCTGATCCCAAGAGGAGATTTAGACAGTGTTCGTTCTGGGGTATGATGATACAAAGAACGGGTGCATCCTCTAAATCTGCTCATGCTTGTGCATTAATTATTGGATATTTTTGGCTGGTCCAGAAAAGCCAAGATTCTTCTCCTAAAGCTTTCTCCATGCAGGGCAGCAGCAGGTAAATACAGGGAAGGAGAAGGATGCAGCTGTGCCTTGAGGGTTGGGATCAGGCACTCTCTCCTCCTCCTCCTCCTAACTAATCTCTAGAGGTGTCAATTCCTTTCTCTCCAGGTGTCCAGAGGTGAAAGCCTCCTCAGCCCACAGAGAGGTGTCTGCTAACCTTTGCTCACATTGTGGTGGTAGGGGAACACTCAGGTAGCATTTCTTTACTTATGTCTTCATGTCTTCACCTTCACCTGTTCTTTTGAGCAGCTGTGGAGCACAAAGACTCAACAACAGGCTTGCACTGACCTGCTTCGGGCCAGACGGTGCTCCTCCATCTCCTGGCCCTGCGGGCGGTGTCACGGATGGGGAATGAGGTGCAGTGATTACTCCGGCTCTGCTCACTTCCAGTTGATTACCCAGGGAGAAAGGGCCAGGCTCTGGGCATTGCAGAAAATGGACACAGACCCAGTGGCTTCATGGAAGCTACGTTTTTCACCAGTCGAGCATCTGTCTGGCTGCAGCATTAACCCTTAACCTGCCCTGAGCTCTCCCCTTCACATCGTGGAGTCTTTTCATCCAGAGCTTATTCCTACTAAATTGTCTTACACTGTAGAAGGCACCCCAATTCTGGTGACTTGATAGGGGGGTAACTTCTTCAGGTCACGGGGAAATAGGAATGATTGCCACTGAGTTTTTTACCCTCTCTGGGAAAAAAATCCTTTCTGCTCTACACTGTGGCCAAGGAGACTTTACAGCTTTTGATTTTCTGCATGATGCATTAGTTTTCAGCCAATATTGCAGATCCTCATGCTTTGGGGATCCTCCTGGACTGGAGATGTGACAGATGATACCCCTGCAAAGCCGTGCTGGGAGCTCGTGGGGTTTGCAGCATCTAGGTCAGAGACTGGCTCCTTTGGGCGTGATCCAGCCCTTCAGAGGGGCTGGACTGAGCTCCTCAGCCCCTGCCTGCAGCTTTTTTGTCCCAGTTCAATAACACTTTGATGCATTTTACCTTAAAATACTCTTCTGGCAGAGAAAAGCTGTCCCTGCCCCTTGATTTGCCCTTGTGCAAAAATGACCAGTTTTAGTCCTCCCACCATCCATCTGAGCATCATCAATGTTCCCTCCTGTCCTGTGACTTCAGTCTGTTGAGAATGAAGGTTAAAGGCAGAGGGGACTATAAAGCATCCCAACCACTTTAACTCTGCCCCATGCTGGGAGGCTCTGAAATGATACATGGGAGAGAGCTCCTTCTCCTCACCATGCAGGGACTTTGTCAGCTTATTGGGGCTCCCAACAGAAGACAGACGTGGACATGTTGGAATGACACCAAAAGAGGCATGAAGATGCTCAGAGGGCTGGAGA